TTGACAATTGAACATCAGTAACGACTCACTAACAACAAATATACAAAATTTAATTATCTCCCTTTAATAACTTGTTTCGATACCTGCTTCACAAACGCACTTCCTGTTTATTTCTGTAACAGACAGTTGCCAAGTAAGTCGTCTATCTATGATATGAGCAACACGTATTTCGTTCTTATTACTTAGATTGTGGGTGAGAGAAAACGTGTTTTAGATTCGAAAATGATTAGAGGTGAATTGATACAATTGAAGTACATTTACTCGCCCTGGAGGACGAGCGTTTCTCCAATTCTTTCTCAACCTGCACATGCTGCCACTGATCCATGACATCCGGGGTAGAATAGGTCTTCAGCAACCCATGCTTGCCATAAAAGACGACTATGCTTGTCGTAAACCCTGTGGGGCTATAACCCTGATTGTATAGATCGTTACTCACAATGTCAATCAATGGATTTTCCAGACAGGATTATTAAATGGCTGCTGTTATACAGCTGAAACATCGCTGAGTTGGGTGTTTAAAAACAAACACGACACTCACACATTGAAATAAGACATAGAGAGACATTGTAAATCATGGACTAGTAGATAGTGACAGATAGACTGCATGGGGCAAAAGTTAGAAGCGGTCATAAATAACCAGTGTTCGAAATAATAACAATGGCCAGGCTGCCATCAGGGCCCACAAACTTCAGAACCTGCAGGCCCTCATTTAAAAAACCCTACAGCTTATTGTGACAGATAAACTGAGACATAAATTTACTGCCTTCTATAAGAACCCATACAAACCTGAAACAACAGGACCAATACGAAATCTACCTGCCATGGGCCTACAGGCAGGCACTTATTTCGAACACTGTTTTTTGGGGTTTTTTTTTTTTGGGGGGGGGAGACAATCAAGCAGTGTTGTAAGCAACTCAGTAACACTTTCTCCATGTACATACTCCTGGTCAGGCGTTATCTCCGTGCATCTGGAAAATATTTCTGTTCAAATTGTTTTCTGGCTCCCAATGACTTCAACCAGTAGCCCTGAGCCATTGTGCTTGGCTTCACTGTAACAAGGTTGCCATGTACATAGTAGTAGTGCAATACATTGGAGGAGGCTTGTACATCATTGGTCAGTGATTTTGTTCAACTTTTCTTTAGGGTGTTGGGGGTTTAGTGATGAGTGAGTGAATGTTGTTTTATACCAGAGTATCCATCTTGCTTCATCATTTCTGTAGTTCTCCAAGGTGCTCAATTTGCTGTGCAGAGTTGCGTCCCTTTGGTTACGAGCAACCTATGATTATGGGTTCGAATCCCAGTTCGCCCCGAATACATTTCTAGGTTTGTCAGCACCATTCATGCACTCTTTGATTTCAGCAAAGCGGTAAATGTCTGAGTCCTGCATCACTGCAGGCTTTCCTCCCACATTAAGCTGACACACAGTGATATGAATAGAAAAATGTTTAAAGCAGCTTTAGAACCCGGTCACTCATTGCTGCTTGTTAATAATTTGTTTTTATTAAGACGACCTATGTGCAAGAAACAATCCTCATTGGGGTGCAATGACATTCAATTCAGCCATTTCGCAAACTATCCACAAAATCCTCATTATTGCATGTGTGTATTAGTTTATTTAATGTCCCACTTAGCAGTGTACAAGGCACTGACAGCAGTCTGTAAATAACCATATCTGGACCAGACATTCCAGTGATCGATACTCCGAGCAACATTCCAGGCTGTTGGATCCCCATCACATCATCAAGTCACTGAGTTTGACCACCTGACACATTTTGTCACCTGGAATCCCCACAGGGATGCATGGTCAGGGCTCAGTAAATCAAGCATAGTCGCCTTTTACAGCAAGCATGGGTTGCTGAAGACCTTTTCTAACCCGGTTCTTCAGGGGTCAGAGGACACGGGTGGCCCAGTCGTCTAAGGCGCCGTGATTTGCTGTTCAGGGACAGGACAGGGGGTCAAGCAACTGAACTTCCACTCTCCGGGCAAACACTATCAATATTATCCAGTAGTATCATGGCATGTCAGGATAACTCCTGTGGGAGGAGACCACGACCAGAGAAGCTTACCTCTTTGTGAAAGCAAAGAATGACACAAAAAGCTCATAAGATGCTGCCAAAACCAAGGGATGCAACTCTGCACATCGAATTGTCGTGCCTTCAGCATCTGCTTCAATATGCAGATTAAAATCAATAGGTATACCATATTTCTACCAGAATCAGTGCCTGATGGCCATTACCCGTCCAAACCATACTTTTTCACCAGCAATGAGACCTGTGAAGATCCATGGAAGAATAGGTCTTCAGCAACACATGCTTGCCGTAAACGGTGACTACGCTTGTCGTAGGAGGCGACAAACGGGACCGGGGGGTCAGGCTCGCTGACTTGGTTGGTGCATGTCATTGTATCCCAATTGCGTGGATCGATGCTCATTGTGTCAATCACTGGATTGTCTGGTCCAGACTCGATTATTTACAGACCGCCGTCATATAGCTGGAATATTGCTGAGTGGGGCGTTAAACAACAAACAAACCAAAGCAAATCACCAACAATTATCCAGTATATATACCAGAGAAGAGAAAGATAGAGCCCTCACAATATATTATCTGGTTAAGTTAAAATAGAACTGTTCTGTACAAGTGAAAGATATGTATAACCTCTTGGTTTCTCCCATGTTGTATAGCTCCACAAAAGTTGTTGGAGATCAAGCTCCACCTCTATAGTGAGTAATGGGTGCGTATGGTTTTACGCCGCTTTTTAGCAATATTCCAGCAATATCACGACGGGGGACACCAGAAATCGGCTTCACACATTGTACCCATGTTGGGAATCGAACCCGGGTCTTTGGCGTGCGGTGCGAACACTTTAACCACTAGGCTACCCGACCGCCCCTTCAGCTCTATATGGCTGCCATACATTTGTAGCTCATGATGCACCATGCTGTCAACTCGGAGCTACCTAAATATCAGGTTTGTTTGTTGTTTAACGCTGCACTCAGCAATATTCCAGCTATTTGACGGCGGTCTGGAAATAATTGAGTCTGGACCAGACAATCCAGTGATTGACATCATGAGCATGGATGCACGCAATTTGGATACGAAGACATGCACCAACCAAGTCAGCAAGTCTGACCACCCGATCCTTTTAGTCACCTCTTTCGACATGCATAGTCGCCTTTGACAGCAAGCATAGTCGCCTTATAGCAACCACGTCTGATGACTACAACACCCTTCCTACCATGTGAGATATGGTGTCCTGTCACAGGTCATCACCCTAAGATGTTTTCACTCGATGAAAGTATGAAATCTGGAGCCAATATTTTACTTCATTTTGAAACAGATTCAAGTGAGTGTGGCTTTTAGCACCTATGGTCAATATTCCAGCAGCATCATGACATGGGACACCAGAAATGATCTTCACAGATTGTAGCCATGTGGGCATCAAACCCAGGTTTCCGACGTGACGAGCAAACAATTTAACCACTAGGCTACCGAACCACATCTTGGTTCAAGTATTTGGCAAACTAGAAAATAACACTGGGACTAAAGGTTTCTTTGGAGTTTTTGCACCTTGAGTAGTCATGGAAGAGAAGTATCTTGCGGAAACTTTACTGTACCTAAATTCTTCTACAGATATGCGGTTGCAGATGTTAACAGTTATTAACATATATTGATAATTTTAAATGTCTTTATATGTTGAGATTTTTCATGCTACACTATTTGCACTCTTCAGTGCTTCTTAAATTTAAGGAGCTTCCAGCTGCAATAAAAGACTTGCACTGATGAAATATTGAGTGTAGACTTTAATAATATTGTACTGATTATGACAAAGCTTAATGACTCTGAACAATGATAGTTTTGTGGAAACAGTCACACTCTTCATGCATCAACTTCAAAACCCAGTACATGAAAGTGAAAAAGCACTTTTTTCCCTCTTAACAAGGCCACAGAAAGTGCTTGATCAACATGAACATAAAAATTTGAAATCAGATTGAAATTAACGTCAAGAATCTTTCCAAGCACAAATGCTTTCCATTGACAATATAGTTCCGAGATTTGAATATTTATTTATTTATGTTTCAGTCAAAACCAAAAAGAGGGGTCTGCTTTGCAAATTAACACAAAATCATGTCACTTCTGTCAAATCCAATATACCCCCACAGAGCATAATATGCAGGACACCCCTAACATTAAAATCGGTTCCAGCTAAAATACACTGATAAAACATTTTATTTACACTCATCAAATAATTTACATAAATAATTTGCAAAAATAGACCATTTATTAATGCTGGTTTCAGAAGCAGCCATGACAGTATTGCACCAAGTCAATGATCATGCTCGATAGTACATTTGACAACTGTCAAAACATAAGGGTGCCGCGCATCCCAAGTCCACGTACACTCCCACTGTTGGAGAAACACATGGAGGTAATACCATGGTGTAATTTGCCTGCAAATCTCTAAGTGTATCTTTACTTCAAGATCTGGAGAGTCTGTTGGCGGAAGATGCGACTTGGTACGGAATTGTCTTGGATTTCTAGCCCCCAACAAACGCCGACCCCTTGTAGCATCTCGTACATTTAATATTACAAATGTACAGCGTTATATCACAACTGAGGTGCATCTGCACGCGCTACACCCCATCTGCATGTGCACAGCCATCGAGGAATATAGATCGTTCTAAATGAATTATATATTCAACCATGTTCCGTATAAATCCAACATGGCGTCCCACGCTAAACTTCAAGCCAAACCTACAGCCGGCATTGGGATATTTTACACATAAACAAAGCTGCAAACTCACCTTGCGTTCGCTTACTACCTCAATTCCTATAGTGCATAGATGCATTCAGCATAATAATGTCAAACTGGGTCTAAACATTTAATTATTGGCCAACATGGCTGCTCAGTAAACCCTGCATATGAAGACAGACGTTTACTTCACGAATAAAAACACATGTATTATGTGGTCAAAATGATGTATTTCTTTAGCAAATACTTACCTAATAGAAGCAACTTCAACTCGCGTCTAGCATCCCGCTTGTCTTTGCGCAGCTGGCGTTCTATTTCCTGGTTAATTCGCTTCTGCTCTTTCAATTCCTCTGTTAGACAGCACGCCATTTTGACGACGAGATGTCGTTCTCGCTCGCCAGTCAATAGTTGTCGCTCGGTCCTTCCGTCCGGCGATGCAGTCCAGAATCACTACTGTCCCCCCTTCCGTCCCCCAATTCCTCTCAATAAACGTCGGGGGCACGGTCCTAGTTTCACCTTGTCTTACTCCGAGCGAATTGTTCAAAATTCGCAAATTCAGCTTCGACTATGGAGTTATACAGTTAACATTAGGGTGTGGTAGCGAAGGGGGGTTTCCAATTGTAAAACTTTCCTGTCGGTAAGAAATAAAAACGCATGTAATACAATATGACGTATGCATTTGATAAAAGAAATACCAATGAATGAAAATACCAGAATGTACATTAGAGAAACCTTACCTTGAAACGCACACGAACGCGCAATAATGCGCAGGTTGATGTACGTTCAATTGGCGGAACAGCCAGAAAAGCAGAAATTATGGGATAGCAATGAGTATGAGGCTACACTCTCGCATAATGAGGCTGTGTGCTCATTACGGGAAGCCGGTATCGCCCGATGCTACAGCTACCGTTACGAAAGTATGGCAACATTTTGCAATTCACATACTGAAATCATTTTTGCGAAAGGATTTAAGTCATTGCTGTAATATGGTTATACATGACGTAATATGTCTTGCAAACAAATATAATTTCTTAAAATGCTAAATTGTTATGAATGATAATAATGAGTTTATGAATGAACCGCAAAGTACATATTAACTTTTTACTTGTTCATAAGATTCACAATATTAAAAATGGAACCAAAAGAAAAAAGATATCGATCTATCAACATCTACAAAAACAAGGCGAATAATCTTTAAGAGTTGCTAAATACAAAATTAAGAAGAATTATTTGAAAATATATATGTGTGCATAAATTATTACGTTTGCCAAGTAGTACGGTTAGAAATATTCATAGACAATAAAAATTCATATTCTCTTTATAAACTAACCAATGCAGACGAAATATATCTGTTATTAATGAATTATCAACAAATGCTACACTTTGTTACTAAATGATTACAGTGTTTCCACCCCTACAGTTTGACTTTGAATATAAATACATTGTTCAAATTTGTACACTACCATATCACGTGACTATGGGATAAACGCTATTACAAGACGGCGCAAGTTAGACAGCCATATCAATATTATTAGTTTTGTGATATGTTTCATAAAACTAAACAAGCACTGTGCGCGGTACATATTTTCACAGTTGGTTTGCAACCCGCGAAGACTCGTGTTAGAATAGGTCTTCAGCAAACCACGCTTGTCGTAAGAGGCGACTAACGGGATCGGGTGGTCAGGCTCGCTGACTCGGTTGATGCATGTCGTCGTATCCCCTATTGCGCGGATCGATGCTCATGATGTCAATCACTGGATTGTATGGTCCAGACTCGCCTATTTACAGACCGCCGTCATATAGCTGGAATATTGCTGAGTGCAGAGTTCAATAACAACTAACAAATAAATGACATCAAAAGCTTATGTTGCTGGGGACCAATTCTATCAAGGATCCCTCATCATCAGTATTTGGTACAACAGTAAATTGTTGCAATACTTTCATCACGTTCACCACCGTCATATCGCTTGGATATTGCTGAGCGCGGCGTTAAACAACAAACAGACAAACATATTAATTTTTGTTTGTATATGTTCCCAGCAATATTACAGTGGACATTAATGGCTTGAGCGTTTAATAATATTTCTACATCATCGCGGGAGACACTACGAAAACACCATTATCGGGAATCGAACTCCTGGCTTCGGCATGACGTGTGAATCCTGCAACTGACCGGCTAATTGTTGTTTGTTTGTTTGTTTGTTGTTTAACGCTCAGCTATAAGACGGCGGTCTGTAAATAATCGAGTCTGGACCAGACAATTCAGTGATTGACATCATGAGCATTGATCCACGCAATTGGGATCGATGACATGCATCAACCAAGTCAGCGAGCCTGACCACCCGATCCCGTTAGTTGCCTCTTGTGACAAGCATAGTCGCCTTATATGGCAAGCATGGGTTGCTGAAGACCTATTCTACCCCGGATCTCATGGGTCGACCGGCTATTTGAACGACCAGGCGTTATAGTGGGTTAGCGGGTAATTGCAAGATGGGGTGTTATTCTTGGTAGTTTATGTGGAACTCAGTAATTAACTTCATGCATTGCACCAAGCATTCGGGGAATCTAACACCAGATATAAACAAAACAGCCTCTTCGAAAGTGGGGTGACTCGCGGCAATGTCGTTACCTTATCGTGCATGGCAAGCACGTGCAAATCATGCGGTGGGTTCGCCTTCTCATTGTAAAAATAATGGACTTCACCTCGCACGAGGTCAATCTTATACGGACTGTGATTGTGTGTTTCACAGGTGTTTCTTACATTGCACGTGCAATTCATGTGCCTGGGGGCACACCCGATGTGTTTTGTTTGTTTGTTTGTTTGTTTGTTGTTGTTTACCGCCGCACTCAGCAATATTCCAGCTATATGACGGCGGTCTGTAAATAATCGAGTCTGGACAAGACAATCCAGTGATTGACATCATGAGCATCGATCCACGCAATTAAGATACGATGACATGCATGAACCAAGTCAGCGAAACCTCCCCCGATCCCGTTAGCCGCCTTTTACGACAAGCATAGTCGCCTTTTACGGCAAGCATGGGTTGCTGAAGACCTATTCTACCCTGAATCTTCACGGGTCTCATTTTTGGCATTGAAACGCTAACTGACAAGCAAACATAACTGGTGGATCGATGTTCATAATATATATCACTGGATTGTCTGGTCCAGACTCGATTATTTACAGACCGCCGTCATATAGCTGGATATTGCTGAGTGCGGCGTTAAACAACAAACCAACAAACCAACATAACTGACCGCCCACTACCCTTTCGGCATAGATGTGTCTTTATTGTTTAATTCCGCACTCAGCAATAGTCCAGCGTTATGACGACGGCCTGTACATAATGGCGTCTAAACCAGACGATCCAGTGATTGACATTATGACCAACAATCCACGTCGTCGGACTACGATGACACGCAACAACCACATCACCGAGCAACTTAACTCGTCTCTTGCGACCAGCATAGATTGATGGGGACAATTATAGATATATCGCTGCTATTTTATATAAATCGCCCTTTAAAAGATATACGATTTCGATATACCGGTTCCACGAAATACCGGATAAATCACAGGTACTCACTGTTTATGAGGTTTCAAGGTTCTCGTCCAACGGTAATATTCCCTCAGGCAACGAAATGAATATATAAACTGTCAGTATTCATCAACCGATGTATTACCTAATCGTAACCCAAGCTCCGTAACATTGCTAAGATCCGTCCAACATACCTGGTCTTATTCGTTGCGTGCCATGCAGAGCGCGAGACGGCGACGACTCATCAACTGTCACAAGTGATGTCTATTCGCAGGAGTGTGTTCATTACATCCGTGCTTTGATGTGCCGCGCCCTGTTGCCGCTTGCTGCACGTGTATCACTGACCTACAGATGAACGGCTCATAAGTTTATACCTCACATAATCGATGCTCTCATGCAACCAAGCCTGTCTATTGGTATTCGGCATCTTAATTACTTGTGCATAGCATGGGCGAGGCAGAGTGGTCGGCTTGTATATTTCTGTACATGTCATCTCTCAGCTGACGCTGAGTGAAATGCACTATCGTCTCATTTTTTTATATTTGAAAATAATTCACAAATATTCACAAGAAGTGAACGGGATTTGGGGACAAGTTTTTCCAACTTAGATTGCCCTCCCCCTGGTATTTTCAAAATTTCACAATTTCAAATTCAATATATATGCACACTACAAAAGCCCATTAGGACCATTTGGTATTTAGGTATTTTTCTTTTTTAAAAGTCTACATGGAATAACCGAAGGGGGATCATTTTAAACTGGTGGCCGATAACACGAACATCGAAGTATTCGAGATGCGAAAACATATCTATAGTCCACAAGCATGTTTGTTGTTTGTTTGTTGGTTAACGCCGCACTCAGCAATATCCCAGCTATATGACGGCGGTCTCTAAATAATCGAGTCTGGACCAGACAGTCCAGTGATTGACATCATCAGCATCGATCCAGGCAGTTGGGATACGGTGACATGCATCAACCAAGTCAGCGAGTCTGACCACCCGATCCCGTTAGTCGCCTCTCACGACAAGCTTGGGTTGCTGAAGACCTATTCTACCCCGGATCTTCACGGGTCCCAGCGGCAAGTGATAAACATATGTTGTGTAACGCCGCGGTCAGCAATATTCGACCTCTTTGGTGGCGGCTTGCAAATAACCGAGTCCCGTCTAAACAACGTGAGTGAGTGGGGTTTTACGCCGCTTTTAACAATATCACAGCAGTATCACAGCGGGAACACCAGTAATGGGCTTCACACATTGTAACCATGTCAGGAATCGAACCCAGGTTTTCGGCGTGACGTAGCGAACGCCTTAACCACTAGGCTACCAGACCTCCCCCGTCTAAGCATCGGTAAACGCAATCGTGGTACGACGACCGTTATCAACCCGATACACCGGTCATCATTTTACCCGGCGTAATCTATCAACGATGCACTGTGGATTTAATCTGCCGATGAGTCACTTACCGCCTTCGTGGCATAGTAGATAGAGCGTCAGCCTGGAGAGCGGACGATCGATGGTTCAATCCTCGACCGCGCAATATAAAACAAAAGACGTTAAACAGTGGTACTATTTGTTGCCCTGCCTGGCATTTAAGAATTGACCTTTACTTTGTGTGAGTTCATTGGAGTATGAACCTTCATAGAGTGAGGGCCAAACTGTATGAACGTCGGAGCTTACTTGCGATTGTTATCACCTCAAAGGATGTAGGCCAAGATCTGTCTGAACACAATTTTATTTAGTACGTGTGACTTCATGTTTACACTTACAGCCATACAACAACCAGCTATATCGCGGAGTAAAAAGGTTCCTCAAAAAGAGAGGTGACATGGGCGTATGGATGCACAACTTGCTCTCCAGAAACATCTTACGCAGCACATGTGTTCAGATCATATCCTCATTAGATGAGAAAGGCCTGTAAAGAACTACCTCAGTAAGTCAGGCACAATGACAGCGCGTCGGAATACATTTACATCAAGTACAAGACGTCAAAATGGCCGACACGATAAACGTGACGGGAGAGATTTCCGAAGTTGTTGATGAACCTTTGGCGGTTACATGTGTTAGTCATCATTGATCAACTGGCCGATCATTGAAAGGTGAATAAAGATGCGTCAAACAGACACAAAGGTAAATTCATAGATTGCTGGAGACGGTCAATGTCAGCCTAGGCACGGATCGAGTCGATACTACGATAGTTTAGATGTGCATTTCTTCGTTTGTTCATTAGGATGGGCCGTAGCGAGGATATTCGTGAACAATCATGCAGTCACGCTCTCTGACATTTCTCAAAGTATACTGAACCGTTGAGACCAAGAATAAAGGTTCTAAATGATCAGAAAGAACGCTTATGCATGTTTTCGTGCTAGGGAATTCCCAGGGGTTTCCCCAGGAATGTGGAAGTAGTCCGTCAGTGTTACGTCATTTCAAGAACACGGTCTAGTGAAAAACGTATGAACGTCAAATTGTGTCGTTCATACACTTATGAACGTCAATTTCGCGGTCATGTGACCGACCTCTCGTCCAATGGAAAAGCCTTATATCGTGTAAACTTCAAATTAAAACATTATTTGGCATTAAATGCATAGAACAAAGACTGATCGGCTCGAAGTCAGTAGCCCCTGCATGCCGAACAGAAGACAGGGAAACAACAAGTAACACCAGATCCCGTTAGTCGCCTCTTACGACAAGCATGGGTAGACGACGACCAATCTTTAAGGGGGAGGGGGCGGTCGGGTAGCCTGGTGGTTAAAGCGTTCGCTCGTCACGCCGAAGACCCGGGTTCGATTCCCGACATGGGTAAAATGTGTGAAGCCCATTTCTGGTGTCCCCCGCCGTGATATTGCTGGAAAATTGCTAAAAGCGGCGTAAAACCACACTCACTCACTCACTTAAGGGGGCATCCATATTTGATTTTTACTTGATTTCGAATTCTCCCGCAACATTGACAGCCACGATGGAACTGGACTGATACAGAGTGTGATACGAATCTAAAACTATGATTGTTATTATTGTTAATTATGGTATTGTTGTTGGTCATTGTCAGTGTGACATCATCAGTGTTTCTGGGTTAAGGGAGAGTGTTCGACGGATCCACGCCCTACCTCACCAGGCTTTCGCATGATCCTGACCACGCCCAGGCCGCGCAGCTTACTACCACCTGTCACTCAGATTGAAATATACATGGATATGTACAACGCGTCAATCAATCATACACTCGCTGTACTGGTGGCACGTGCGGTCGATGTACGTGTCATTAGACAGTTTGCATCGATTGTTGTTTTTACGTATTCTGCGTTCAGTTGGTTAAGATGTTTCCCCACGTCTCTGGGGCCAAAGTTCAGGGTTACATTCATGAGAGAGAGAGAGAGAGAGAGAGAGAGAGAGAGAGAGAGAGAGAGAGAGAGAGAGAGAGAGAGAGAGAATATCATTATTTGTTTTATAGTTTACCAGCAATGACAACATACAAGAATTATATGTATATTATATGAACAATGATAACAATAACTAAGTTATAAGTATATATTTATACGGAGAGAGAAAGAGAGAGTGAAAGAGAGAGAGATTAATTTATTTTTTTATTTGTAGTTTACCAGCAATGACATGACACATACGAAATTATATGTATAATCTTATATGAACAATGATATCCATATAAAATATATGGAGAGAGAGAGAGAGAGAGAGAGAGAGAGAGAGAGAGAGAGAGAGAGAGAGAGAGAGAATATCAATTATTAATTTTTATTTGTAGTTTACCAGCAATGAAACGGTGTAGCGAGACCCAGAGGGAGAGAGTCTCAGTGTTGTTGGCAATGACTGCAGCGTCAAGCTTCGTGCAACATAATCTGATTCATATTTTCATATAGATAGAAACGGCCCAGAACAATTAGCACCTTAACTTTTCATTCAACCGTAACAGTAATTTCAAAATATTTAAAGCGAAAAGTATACCAAACCCATTGTAAATCAAGCTACAACATATGAATTCTATCATCGTTGTCGGTTACCGACTTTCTTCACGCTCTGATTACGCTAAATGTGCATCACCAATGAAAGATACACATGTACTTGAAACTGACACAAGAGAATGACCTTCATCACACCCAGACAGCTATCAGCGGTATAAGAGGTATATTATAGGCAGCGAGACGAATAGAGAATCTCACCCGAGTGTCTTCTGAAATCAACACAACACAAGTCGATCCACGTTTGAAAATCCGAGGCTTGCCGAACAGTCTTAAACTTTTATCGACGAGTGTTGAAATATTCGGTATCAAAAGACACGAGGGCAAAATTCTATTCATCGCCCATAAATTTCAACCTTTTCACTTTGTAAACAGTGTCTCGAGCGTCTTGTGTCTAAAAGGTTGCAGGGGCGGCCGGGTAGCCTAGTGGTTAAAGCGTTCGCTCATCACGCCGAAGACCCGGGTTCGATTCCCGACATGGGTACAATGTGTGAAGCCCATTTCTGGTGTCCCCCGCCGTGATCTTGCTGGATTATTGCTAAAAGCGGCGTAAAACCATACTCACTAACTCCGGCGTGATGTGCGAACGCTTTAACCACTAGGCTACCGGACCGCCCCACAGACCTATTATAGCTAAAATGGAAAGAATCATCAGTAAACTGCAGCATGCTATCAGAAATCAGCGGGCCACTGTAACTTGATAATGCCCTCATATTGCTTGACGACGGGCCATTATCACGCCCGTTGTTAGGTGACGTCATAGGGTAGGGATAGGTGACGTCAAGTTCAATAGTGACGTCATTTGGTTTGTTCTGGGACGTTTCCACATTTGTAAAAGTGGGTCAGTGACATTCGTGTTGATTGCAGAACATGTTTCAAAACCGATATTGATCCTTCGTCGGGCAGTTAATGGAAGACCTCGGGCTTCTGCAAATGATAATGCCCTGAAAATTAGCATAACCCATATAATATGAGACCGTATACCATCAGTAGCAGCCATTTTGGATATTGCACCACCCTCCTCACACATGGTACAGAAACTCGTTATTCGACACTATTTTGTGTTTTAACATCACTAATTGTGATGCGCAAATACATCAATGTTAAAGAAACCGCAATCATGACTTTAATAATAAACATTATAGAGTAAAAAAGCTTGTCATTGAGTTACATATAGCAACATCATGGAACACAATATTGAATGACGTCACAAACAAGAAACGTGATGCCAATGACGTCACATAGCACAAGAATAATAATAATAGCAGCCCGTCTTTAGGAGAAAGCGGACTGCTTTCAAGTTACAGTTGCCCGCAGATTGCTCACGCCTCAAACTTTTAAATATACAGTAAACTAAGGTTATTACGAACACGCTTATA